TCTTACATAGGTGTGTCTACTGCACAAAAATGGTTCGCAAAACTTGAAATAGGCGACTTTGAAATTGAAGACACGCCTCGAAGCGGACGACCTGCAGAATTCGACCAAGAGCGTCTGAAGGCACTATTGAAGGAAGATGGTCGCCAAACAATTCGTGTATTGGCTGATTATTATAATAACTTATTTAATGATTTATTATTGCAATTATTGCTTTTTGTTCAGAGAAATCTTTGTGAAAAACTCTACGAACTTATGTTACAACCTAATAAATATATCTTCAGATCTACCATGCGTTGGATGCGGGCCACCTACGTGTAAGGACATGTCGGAGTTCAAAGCTGTCCGAAACGATAACTGAGTGCCACGGTTTGGGATCTTCTGTTTGAACATATGTACCTACCGAAAACGGGAATGGGCTCAACTGGTTTTGGGTTAAAATTGTCTTTCACCGCTGCTCTCAGAGAGTGAGGTAAAAAACAACCAACGGAGCACATTTCGTTGTACGATTTCGTTCCATATTCTATTTCCCGTTGAAGAAGGTTTCATCTCAGTCAGCTCCAACCAATTGAAAGAAACTCAGGAATAGCAGAATGGTTAAAACTGTGGGCTCATATCTGCCTCCAAATTAGGGCACGCGTGTATTCGATCACTTTGCAGTACACCAGTGGACGACAGCACGGCATCCAGACATCGCAGGGCATGGCTTTTGCCTCTCCAGTACATCAAGCGCGCAAAGCGCCACATCCGTTGTGGACTATAGCAGGGCATCCAGAACAATGCTCTGGTTGCCCTGGATGCCGTGCTCTCATCCATACTGAATGAAGTGCAGTACGATTTAGTGTTAGCAAATAGCTACGAACTATGCTATAAAAGTCCAGGCACAGGTTGACAGGTTAGCCGATGGAAAAGCTCGGTAACAAATTGCGTAGAAGAGGTATTTGAAAGTGCTGTTCAACTGTGCGCACCATTGCATACAGTTGGCTGCAGTAAGCTGCCTGCGTGCTAGATGTGGGTCCCGGTGAGAATGGTGCGACGTCTACAGGTTTCACATTGCTTAAAAACTCGTCCGCCTTAGGTGTGTTCATCGGCTAAGCCCATTTTAGGACTCTTATAATGCATTATCTTACGTTTTTCCCCGACAGCGTCCCTCAGGCTGTCTTGGAGTCCCATATTCATTCAAGGGAGGAATTTCGTAAACCATTTTTAACGTGAACTGTGCCTTTAATGCTAGGACCTCACCAGGAAACTAGCACCTGCAGAACCCTGGTCTGAATTCTGTGGTGTGCGAGGGCTTCCAAGGGCGACCTTGGCCAAAGAAATGTAGTTCGAGTTGTGACTCCAAGTGTTGGATTGCTTGCATGTAAGCCTTTTACCTCAAGAATCGCTAAATAAAGGCAAGAGAAATCAGGAAAGATGTAGACATCATAGGATGAAGTTAAACAGAAGGATATCGACCATGTGCTCGTAACCCTTTCGTTTTTGGAACTGTAAACTGTGATCTGGCCATTTGGTTTCTCTGATTACTTTTTGTTTTCTGAGATTACAAGTAAGATACCTCACGTATTGAATATATTTCTTAGTAATGCATGTACGAATGCCTACCTATACCGACATAGAAGGGAAAGAAGAACGGCTTCCGAAGTTATAGCTCAACCCCAAACCTCAATTCAAGTGATGTACTGGGAGCACGGCTTCCTGCGAGCGAAAGGTTGCATCGAAGGTTCAAATTGAGAGCAGCTCTTTCCTTCGGACAGATGTTCCTAGTCTCCACATAGTTTTCAAGCATTAGTTCAAAAATGGAGTGACTTTTCTGAAGCATTCCCTTTGTCTAAACGTCATGGAAACATTATTGCCCCCATCAAACTAGCGAGCAACTAGTGGCACAGACGCAGAGTATACTGCAACGCGCGATAAGTCATCAGAATAGTCAGAAGTAGTACTATTACCTTTTCAAAAATATCATCTGTATTAGCGGAGTTCATTTGATCGATAGTTACGAAGGATTCGGCCTTTGAACGTTCGAAGGTCTTCACGGATTGCCATACTGCCTGAAAAAAATGCTTTTCGTATGCCAGATGTTCGCTCAAAGGAAGATGTACTGAGTGGGTGTGGGTGGAATTATCCACTATCACTCCTACATTGTCTCTCTGTTTTGAAGTGGGTAAACGAGCCTATAGAAAAGGAGGCCACACCAGACAGTTCCAGCAAGTTTCATCGCTACTTTCCCTTTTGGAAGCAATGTTTCATAACATGGCGAGCCTTTAGACCGACTCTTAAGATTATAACATGAAATAGTTGCCACCAACCGTTGTAAATCGATCAATACTCGTGAAGATTAGCGGTGCATCCATGCGAAATACACAAACATTTCCTCCCACAAATTCCAAGTGTTTCTTTTTTGTCTCTTTGAAACTGTCGGAGTCAGAATCGCGAGAAAGGAAGTGCCATTTGGGCCTACAGCAGTTCACTTCAATTTGGACTCGAGTAAAAATGATAGAACAAAAAATCACAGGAGATTAGAGGATCAGCAGATTTAGTAACTGCTCTATGAACTGTCTCCACATCCTCCACTGTCTGCTGTTTGACTATCGGTCTCCACGTCTACCTTTGGAGTAAGCCTGAACAAACCTTTGCATTCGTATTATCGTAGTCAGCACAGCAAATCCTGTTGCGAGTAGAAGGCCTTCTCCCATATCAAAGCACACAGTCAATATCATGCTCATCAACCATATAGTCTGAACTTCAATTGTTAAATTCATAGGAGAGTTTGCGTCAGCAGATGCCCAGGATGCGCCACACACCCACGCCTTGTTAATGTTTCTCTAGTTTACACAATCAACTGCTGGAAGAACTAGCCAATCTGGAGGTCTGTGTCTTAAAATTCAAATACAGGCCTTCTATAGGTTTGCTGGCCAAGAATACTAGTTGACATGGACCGGATTTGACCTCAGAGAGCATTTTTTTCCGGAATTTACTGACTTCGCCGATACATTTGTTGAAAGAAATCAATACCTCAGCGGATGACCGAACAATACGAAGACTGAAAAATTACTCACAAAATCGACTTTGAACACGGGCCAAAGTTCTCTGAGCTCGGCAAATTTCGCGAACATTGCTCTCTGCGAAACAATGATCATAGTTGACAGAATACACTTAGGCAGATACTCCAGAGCAGGTCCAATGTATAGTATGACCAGAACCAAGGCTAACGACGAGAAAAGGCAGGTCAGCTAAAAAAGGTACATTGAAATGGTGAAGAATCCTCGCTTTCTATGTAGATTGCCAGAGAAAAGAGTCTAAATGTCACTGGGTTCATCATTCAAAGGCTCACTGGCTTATCTCCTTTTAACTCCAGCGGCACCTCCCTCTACGGTAGCCACTTTTTATCTCTGAGCAACCTTTGACCACAACTGCTTAGAGCTCGCCCGAAATCAACCCAGATTCCCGATCGCTCCAATATTGGTAACGGTAGGCTCAGCTCCGAGTTTTAAACAATTACCTGTGTACTACTACCAACAGCAGCTCCAACAACACTCCGAGCAAATCCAGATGTAACTGGGAATACGGGGAAAAACGACGACAAAACACCGACGAATCCGAGCGCATATAACTCCTGAATGAGAGGCTTACAAATGACGTCGCCAGGGCTTCCAGAAAAGTTCGATAACAGGATTACCTGGCCATGGTTAATTTTGTATTTGTAGCGCTTTTCGACGATTTTTGCAACAGTCAAGTGAATTGCAACGGCCGTTAGTGCAATCGCGACAGCGTTTACACCAATGTATTGAATAAGGTCGAAACGAGGCAATGATGGGGGCGGAAACCTGGAACAAACGGCTTCCTTGCTTTTTACAAGAGTTGCAACTCGAATTAGGAGATGTTGAGGCAAGTGCAGAAGGAGTGAGTGTGTGACGTCTCGCACTGGGATGGGCTAACAGACAGTGCCGCCCACATAGTCCGTGCGACCCGCCCCTTCAAACAGGAAAAGAAAAATCAGATCTCAATGGATAGGTTAAATTTTTAAAAATACTCTGGAACCTACTCAGTTGGTATATTTCCCAAGACTTTGATATGAAAACGACGTGACAGTTCAGCATAATTGGTAGCAGTGATTCCAACAACAGCCTAATAATTGGATTATATGATAAAATGAAGCAGTAACAATTGAAATTGATTGAATAAAGAAATGGTTGAAAATTGGATGCCGAGAATGCGTTTCGGCTACGTCGATCGCCTTGCCAACAATCGATTTGGTTTCTCCCATGATTTGATCTTTCAATACACATTCTGAACCCCTAATCAGTTTTATCTCCTTTTATTGCCATATTAGTCAGTTACGTGAAATACAACAGTGGGATAAGTAAAATTCTGAGGATGGCTATCATAAATACAGTGCTCGCTTACTTTATATAGGAAAAAAGTAAAAGTACCCAACTTCGCTCTGAACTTAAAGAAGTTAGACAAGTTTCTCATTGCTAGAAGTACTACACAAAATAAGCTCATTGCAGTGAGTTGATGTGGCAGTGAGCAATTTCAGAGAGCAAGTAGGACGTCCGATTCTATCGTCGATGAAGCTCTGCGTCACGCCGCACACGTCGTGCGCGGCGCAGCCTATTGCGATCTTGAGATAGACACGCTTGAACCGTGTAAGGGTTTTGCGGTTTGAGTTTTCCTCCGTCTGAGGACATTTGAAGGCAGCATCGGTGCTGCAGCGGTTCTGCTCATTCCTATTAAGGGATCTTCTTCAACTCATCACCTTACCACCTCATTTTCTGATTTTTAATTTTTCTACACGTGTGGCCTCGTCGCGCTTTATTCTACTTCCAAGAGAATACTCACTTTTTCGTCTCAACGGCGCGTTCTTGGTTTCATTCGAATACCCGCGCGCGAGAAAGTATTTTAAACTCAAGCGAGACCATTCCATAGCACTCGAGGTCGAAGGGGTCCGGGAACTTCTCCCCTAACACGGCGTCGCACACGCCGCACCCGCCGCCTATCGCAGGAATGCGATGGAAGATTGGAGTGCGCAATTTGTGAGGTAGGGAGTCCTTTAATTATTTGAATTGGCTGGCAGCTCTTTTCAATTCCAATGCGGTCTTGATCGTCGTTTATATAGGAGGAGTCATTTTAATTAATCAAGTCTAATAAACATGAAAACTAAAAAGAAACAGAAGAAAAAACGATAAAATCTAATGAAAAAGCAAGCCAGTCAAGGAAAAATATCGCGTCCTATCGATTGGAGGGAGGCGGGGTGAGTACGGTAATTGCAGTGGTATTTGCCGCATGCCGCAAGGGAGAATGCCGCGATAGGGGAGAAGTTCCGTTACCCAGGTCGAAGCGCACCCCAGAGAGTCGCCGTCCTGCGAATGGACAATCACGAATCAATATGGACGTTAGAAGGGGTTCTGGGCCGTTGCCTGGCCCTACCGTTGTGGACGGCTGCTCTGCGAGGATATTAAGTATTCACGAAAGAATGCATTTTAGGGAGTAAACCCTCACCTTCACGAAAACAGACCTGTGACTTACCAAAACTAAATCAAAGGGAATCGGGAAGTGGAATGCTGTGCTTAGCCATGGCGAAATAAATTCCTTCCCGAAGATCAAGAACGTCAATGATGACAAGGAAATAGCTAAGGTAGGATAATGGATATTGCCGATATTTTCGATGAGATCACATATTCTCTGGAAAGAGTGGATTTCGAGAATATTACTCGGAAAAATGATATGTAAACTTTAAGAGCAGTGGAGGGCGCTGGGTACGGCACCAGAGAGACCACGCTCACCGTGACTTCTATATTCCACTCACATAGTACAAGTATCCAGGACCACTTCTTCTCGGTAACTTCATTCCAAGTACATCACCGATTTGGGCAAAAAACACATGCACACCACCACCAACAACAAATCCAGACATGACTTGTTCCGAGAAAACTGTAGTGAGATACTGCAGTCGAAATACACCCATGAGAACCTAAACAAGGATTAGCAAATATTATTCCATCCATTTCTCCCGTCTGGGCAGACGCAGGGCAGTATTTCCAAAATTTACATATATATATAATAGTTTCGTGGGCTCCGAGAAACTGGAGCAAGGGCTAGAGCAAGGATTCAAGCTAGGCCCAGCGCGATAGTATGATGATGAGGTTTGCAAGCTCGAGTTCGCGACGAACTTACCGGCAAGCTTTTTTAGAAAATTATGGGCCAGATCGAACAGGAGCAAGGGTCATCTACAGGGAGTGCAAGAGTGTCTGATGTACCCGTGTGTGGATATCGTGTCAGCTTCAGAGGCGAGTGAAAAAATATTTCTCTGATTACTATGTATAAAAAAAGCTTCGATTACTTGAAGCGATCCAGAGCCAGATCGTGGAGCTGTATCAATCGTTTGGGTAAGCCTAGCTCCTTTCAAACGGATTAATGGCTCTGCAAAAAGCAAAGGACTAACCTGTATGCAGCCAGCGAAGAAAATAATGGTAGTAGCGACGTGTATCTCCTTAACCGGACTGACACCGTCTGTCCACATTTCCGTAGTGATTTCTTCTATCAACGAGGTGCCATTACCAAGGCTGAACAATAGATTTAAGAGTCTACAAGAAAATCTCTACAATGACATATCAAAAACCAGATACGGGTGAGGGGTAAAGCTCCCTGGGTAAGTATATAGAAGGGGCAATCTGGTGTCACGCACCTACCCATTGATGCATGACTTTTCCTCGCATATGTTGTAGCTTAAAAGTAAACATAAGCACGACTGTTGGTCTGGGCAGTACTAAACAGAACCGGCCACAAATTCAGCAGCCTTGATCCTACCGACCGCATGGGATTCGGGTCAAAAAGCGGCCTAGATAAGACCAATGAGGGCTCGGTCCCACAGCCGCTCGATACTCCCAGGAGAGGACGTGTTCAGTGGCCTAGTGTAGTCAAGAAGGCTGGTAAGCCATTGCAATAAGCCTGATCAGTTTGGAAATATATAACTGGAGTTATTTATGTACAGAAATCTCGACTGGTGATTGAACCAGCCAGGTGATAAATATTACAAGTCGATAGATGAAATCGGAAAGTGATACAGTATCTCACATAGAGGTACTCACACTGTAGTCCCATTGAGACCGTCCAACGTCAAGTCTATTTCCTCTACGGTGTGATTCACGTATGAAGTGGTGTTGTAGCTGATTGCTGTCTTCATCATTACTTTTTCGATTGCTGTGTGTGTCATTAGAGATAAAACAGCAAATCCACCTAAATTTCAAGGTATTTACTTATTTTAGAAAAGGTATTTAATTGGAAATTCACGACAAGTATTCCTTAATATTAGGAATCGAGTAAGAGGGAATTAATACAAGGAATTCAGTTGTGTTACTGCAAACATTATTTTATTAGAAAGCCTATGATGCAGAGGTACCACTGTTACTTTGTAATACTCTATAGTTATTTTCTGAAATTTTACTAATTTTCTACTTGGAAGCCTGTGATATAACAAAATCCATGGCAGCACCTTGTTTTTTCGGGGAACGCTGAATAAGGTTCTTGATGAGACAGGGTTTGGAAAGGAACAGGAAATGGGGATGGGGCAACTTTCTATCTAGAGAATTGGAGGAACGAGATATTCAAAGCCATCTTAAAAATGTTGTAGAGATGAAGTGCGCTGACTAAATAATATACAAATAAACCAAGAAAATAAATGAAAAGTGTAACTGACCCAGTGCATTATGCTTGGACGTGCCAAAAAAGATATAGAGAAATGAGGGAAAGATAGCTGTGTACAGACCATAAACTGGTGGGACTCCAGTAATTCCAGCCAAAGCAATACCTGCAAAATAAACTGATTCATTAATAAAAGCATGAAAATTATTCATCAAGGAGTTTCTACCTGCGTTGTATAAAGACAAACTCAGCCAAAACTCAGATCTTCATGGTTACAGAGACTTCAGACAAATGAGAACGAAAGTTGTAAAAGACGTTCACTGTAGCCAAACGAGCTCGAGTGTAACCCAAAGGCAGCCAATCTTGAAAGGAACCTACCTTGCGGCACCGAGAAGACGGCCATCGTCAGTCCACCAGAGAGGTCGCCGAAAAACGAGTGGGACCAGTCATAGTGTGGTAGCCAAGTGAGAATCGGCAAAAATGATGTGATTCTGGAGAAGTTACGCCGACGAAAGAGGCGTTGGCGAAGTCTAGCGACACCGTCACGACACTTGGCTCCGATGGGCACTGCTTTTGAAAGAAGCTAAATATCGAATAGGTAGAATTGAAGATGCTCCAGTTCAATCTACATTTCCCCAATGAGACACTCAAAGCTTACCTTGGGCATCGAATAATACCAGTAGCGAAATTTTGGTTATACAGTGGAGAAACCAACAAATGGCCGAGGATGGCTCCTCACAGTATTGCATCGCCCGCTGCTCGTTAATTCGTGCTGCAAACAAAACCCGTTGGTCACTGGATGGTACACGACAGGGTCCTGAAAAGAAAGCCTCGGCTTAGTTGGGCCCCAAAAGAAGGCTGACTTTGGAAACTGCTTTTCAAAGAGCTTACGATTCAGGGCCAGATGGGAGACGAAAGAAAGTGCTGCAATCCTCTTTGACGAACTGACTCCAATCTACTGCCGATCACATTTTCTATCGGGTTTTATCCCCGAAAGGCGTTAGGAAGTGGTGGCTAACGAACTAGCATATTGTCGAAACAAATCTCGATTTCAATTGATCCAACAATATTTTGACTTCAATTAATCCAGCAATTGCCCTTGCCCAGCACTTATTTATACCAATTAATCACACATAACCGCCTTCCCGGTAACCCCGGAAAGGCTTTCCAAAAATTTAGGTTCTGGATCTACCAGTTTGGTAGGAACCCTATGCCACGAAGTGGTCTGAACCAGACTGGACGCCGTCGGCCTCATACAAAGGGATGGTCGCGCCGTATCCCATGCGGGTATTTGAGCTATGTTAATGCTGTAACGCGTAAAATATGCTGCCGTGCCGCCACGTGAAGAGGAGACAAGCAAGCATTTTTGAGCTGGAGTTGAAGTTAGTTAAGGTTATTGTGCTTTCAGTACGGAGAATGGCTTTGAGCACTGTCTATAATTTATTTTTAGGATTTCTATCAGTCCACGAATCTAATTCTCCCAATCAGTTACATTTTATGTGACATACTTGTAATATTGACAGCAGGCTACTTGAAAATAATTCGGAAATTCGAGAGCACTGCAATAAAAAATGGTAAAATCACAGCCTTTTTGTATTTAAGCCTCCTGGAACCCGTCCTGGAATTATTTGAACATCGTCATTACAGAATGATAATCGAGACGCACGGCGCGCTCTGAAAAAGTAGATGAATTCGCCGGAGCCTCTATCCTATGCTGCTCAACAACTAGTTTTCTTCAGAAGGCGAACAAGCAACTTTGCAGAACGGCTACCATCAACAGAAAACTAATTTATTAGATTTGGGAGACTTTTTGCCTCAGGACCTCACTATTCGATCGATTTTCAATTGATTTTTCGGGAGATCCCCATCCCATTTCTGGTTCCATGTGGATGAACAAACTAATCGATGCCCTTCTGAAACCCGCATTGCCGGCACTTTTTCCATGGACTGTCACGTTTTTGCAGCATTTGGCTGATTACCACAGCCACTGTGTGACCAATCAATAATCATTGATCACAAATACTTAGAATGTCTTAGATCGCACCGTTCGGTAGTCGCTAAATGGTCGATATCGCCATCAATCGATAACCGCCTTCGTCCAGTTCCTCTGTATGATAAGATTACAATCCGCCGAAACCTTCGTCTCTCCTTCAATCACTCCGTTACCTGTCATTTTTTCGTTTTCGATAAGTAAAACTTGTTAATTTTTGCCTGTTTTTTCCAAGTCAAACTAGTATGTAGTGATTCTGTGAGTCACATTTGTAGGTCACATGATGAACTATACTCTACGAATAGCATCCTAGACAAAAGTACTTTCTACTCATCCGTTACT